GGAGGAGGGGACAGAAACCCCACGAAGGGCATGGGCCCTGGTTCTCCAGGAGAAAGGCCGGCCGGCCGCTCCAGCTCCCGGGTCCTTCGCAGTGCCGGGCTGGTACTTTCCCTCCACAGTTCAGTCGTTGCTATAGTGACCTGGATGAGCACCTGCCACGTCCCCGCTTATGGGAACACTGAACGTCAGAAAGTAAGTGGCGGGGCCTAGGGTACACTGGGAGGCAGTGGGTCGGTACCCAGATCTCCTGAATTGAAAGACCGCTCTGATTGAAAACCCTGCTGGTGTAGCGGGCTATAAAGGTTTACAGTCCCAGAACCCGCAGGGGCAGTTTGACACTCTTCTCCGGGGTCACTATGCTTAGGATACCAAGGCAGTGAGCTTTTCGAATCCTCTGCTTTTAAGGTGCATAGAACTCTTTCATCTGGGAAGCTGGCGAGAAGGCGTTCCGCCTATGAGTGACGGTCCCTTATCCTTTCCTTGTGGTTTGGGCTTTTGCGTTGTCGTGAGCGAGGGTGGCCGAAACACTCCTTCCTGCCTACCTGATTCTGATTGACAGCAACCTTCTGATGTGTAGTCACTGTACGTGACAGAGTAGAACTGCCCCATCAGTCTCCCAGGACTGTAATCTTTATGGGGGGGCCCTCGTGGTGTCGTGGGTGATGCCTTGGGCTGTGAGCTGCATGGTCGGCAGTTTGAAGCCACCAGCAGGCTGGGCTTGCTTCTCCCGGAAGCAGTTACAGCCTCGGAAACCCACGGAGGGTCACTATGAGTCAGCATTGACTCGATGGCAATGAGTGTGTTTTGCTCCAAATCGTTACGGAAGCAGACTGCCGTGCCTTTCTCCTGCGGAGCAGCCAAGTCCGAGGAGCAGCCAGCGCTGCAGCCACTGCTGTGCCGGCCACTCGGCTCCGCGTCATGTCGACACCGCCCCACCCCTTTCTTGAGCAGTTTTATTGGCATCTAATTCCCATATCCTACAATTCCATCCTTCAGGCCCATTAACATAGAGTTGTACAGTCATCACTATTCTTAAACCTAGCACACACGAGCCCACTAATTCACCGCCCTTTGAAATGGGCATTATTGTCCCGTTTTACAGAAGAGAAGAGCAAGGCTGCGGTAGGTGAGGTAATTTCCCCAGAGTCACATCACCAGCACCTTTTTTTTTTTTTCAGACCAGATCCACACCCATGCTTGCTCCGCCTCAGAGAAGCCATGGCAGCCTGCTTATCCCCTCCAGGGGCGCGGGGTTTGATTTTTGAATTCTGAATGTTCTGATGTTCTTCTGCAAGGAGACCTACCGACTGTGGGTACTAGGATAACTCTTAAGGTCTTTGCTTTAAATGAGAAAGTTGATTTTAAAGGTTGTAGCCCATGAGCTGAGATCGGGGCCAGCCAGCCTGAGCCTGGTACGGACTGCGGGGTACATGTCCAAGGCTGCGTTTATCTCCCCCTTCAAACCATCTCCCTCCACCTCCCTTATCTCGCTCCAGATAAGGGCTAGTTCCTGGAACTCCCACTTCCATGCACTCCCTCGGCACCGCCTTTGGCTCTTTCTGCACGGGGCCCTAAGATTAAGTTGTTCATTTTTCTCTTGGGGAGGAGGGAAGACAGTGTGGGCCGGAAGGAGACAGGTTCTTCCAGCCTGTAAAATCATTCTCTGTGAGTCATCTGGCTCTATGTTTCTAAATAGTTTCACTGTTTTAAACATGGAGGAATTGGCAGTCCGGAGAATTGATTTATCAAAGTTTGGGTGTTTCTCCCCTCTGCCCCCCAAACGGGTGCCTTTCCTAGACACAAACCTGCCCCGTATGCTGACAGATGCAGTGTGCATGGCTGTGTCTGGTCTCTCCTTCTTCCCTGGCTCCCAGCCTTCACAGCAGCCTTGCAAGGTCAGGGATTAGCAGCAGTCTTTGGCATAAAAGAAAAAAGAAAAGAAACTGAAGGCCAGAGTGTAAGTGGCTTGTACAAAATAGCTTTTGGGTGGCGGAGGGGAGCACTCTGAGCTTTGACCTCAGGCTAGAAGAACTCCAAAGCTTTGGGACCGCCAGCCCCTCCGCAGAAAGGACTGCCGGGCATCAACCATCAACCAAACCGGCTCCATCCTAATCGGTGACAACCCCAGGCTTTCCATTTTTTCAGAAGTTGCCAGGCCTTTCTTTGGAGGCTCCTCTGGGTAGACTTGGCCCGCCAGCATTTCCGTTAGCAGCCAAGCGCCTTTAACTGCCTGTGACACCCCAGGATGCCGCAGGAGAGCAGTCAGATTCCATTAGTCCTGTGCTTGTTGCTGGCGCCTGCCCACTTTGTTCGGTGCTGGGCAGCACAGCAGTCCGCACGATGGACGAGACAGAGAATGGTCGGATGCCCTGAAGGACTTTCTGGGTGGTGCTCCCCGGGTGGCCCAGTGTGCACGTGGGGAGAGCCACAGTGCTGTCCTTGGCCGTGTTTGGATGAGCGATGTCCAAGGGAGCGCTGTACACATCCAGGCCAAGCAGAGCCGCTCTCCAAGCTTAGGGGGCTACGTGGACCAGAATAGCCAGGTATGGTGTCACGGCCGACCGAGGCCTGGCTGGGGTGTGGACCTCAGCTGGGTCTAGAGGCAGGATGTACACATTCCCGCAGGGAGGCCAGGTGTATTGGAGGCTCGAGGGAAGGTGGGAGTGAGGGTCCTGTGGGTACTGCTGGTACGGCCCTGACGCTCCTCTGGTGTCTGGCTGGCTGGCACCAGGAACACTTCTCTGCCCCCAGCAGACTGTTCCTTGTGGGTGGCACCTTGAAGTCATTTGCTTCCCTTTGAGTGTACTTTTATTCCCCAAAGAGAAACGCGAGTCCCCCACTTGCTCCATGAGCCGCTGACCTCAGCTTTCTGTACTGCAGTCTGGGCAGTCCTGAGCTTTGAGCCCAGGAACACAGAGCCCCAAAGTCCCGAACAAGACCTGTTTGACGGGAGCCAGAAGAGGCCAGAAGCTACTCTGAGACTCACCCCCAGCTTCACCACCCGCCGCCCACCCTTGGCCATATCCTGTTCTCAGTGGTCCTTTCCTGCTCTGCTCAGACCACGGGGAAGCCAGCTCCCCACGTTGGCATAGCATAGATCTGCCCTGGACACCCCCTCCCCTCCCCCTCCTCCCCACCTCATTATCAGGTCTGACACACTGAGCATGCTGTCATCCCTCCGGGGCACTGGCTCTTCCCAGACTCCTATCTGAATGGTGCTTGCTTTCCCTGGAACACCCCCATCTCCCACCCACACCCCCAGTCTTCTCCTAAGGAGCCCCGGTGTTGCAGTGGTTAAGCACTCGGCTGCCAATGGAAAGGCCAGCAGTTCAAGCCCACCAGCTACTCTGCAGGAGAAAGATGAGCCTGTGCTCCGCAGGGTGACAGGCAGCCCTGGAAGCCGATGGCACAGTACCACTCTGTGCTATCAGGCCCCTATGACTTGGAATCGACTTGGCGGCAATAGGTTTGGTTTGGATCAGTCTCCTAGTAAAAATTCCCTGTGTTCCTAAGAGAGTAGCTTCTGGCCTCCTCTGGGTCCCGTCAAACAGGACTTGTTCGGGACGTCCGGGCTCTGTGTTCCTGGCCTCAAAGCACTTGTCTGGTCCTTGGCAACCTCTCTTTCTTGCCTGGTGTCCTCCCTAGGCTGGGCCTGGCCCTGAGTTGGTCATCTCTCCATCCCCAGAACTCAGCATGGTGCTTGGATCTTGGCGTGGGAATGTATGCATATCAGTATCATTGAGTAGGCGTCCTAGTGTTTTCAGTGGCTCCAGTTTGCAGAAGTTGATCGCCAGACCTGTCGTCCAAGGCACCTCTGGGTGGCTTTGAACTTCTAACCTCTCATTTAGCAGCCCAGTGTGGTAACCGTCTGCACAGATGGTGCCACGGACTCTATAATTGTCACTGGATGAATGAGTAAGGGATTAAGGGAGAAGATAAACACCTTTCTTTGCTTTTCAGTCTGACCAGCCAGTCAAGTCACCAGAGGGCCTCGGGCTCGGTGTGTCTGCCTACCTCCCCTTGCTGCGCTGTCTCAGCCATGCCATCCTCTGAAGACCCCTGCTCCCATCCCCCAGACAGCCAGCGCAGCCCAGTCCCTCCATGCTGGTTGTACTCATTTGGATTCTAGAAAACGAGCTGGTGCTCTGGAAAATCAGTTCTCATTTATTTTTGTTGCTTTGAAACTTAAATGCCTTTCCTAAGAAATGCCTGAGGTTAGAATAGGGCAGAGAGAGAGAGGACCATGCCCAAACCCAGACAAACTATTTTTGTGATGTGAATGAGCACTCATTCCATTCCCCCTTCCATTCGCCTAGGCACTTATTGCAAATTGTTGCCAGTTTGAGAGGAGAGGTGTGGGTGCATGGTTGTGTGCCCATCCTTGTGTGTCCCTGTCTGTCCCATCTACCAACTGAGGCAGCCGGTGTGCCTCCAGAGACAACCAGGAACTTGAGGAGTTGCCTTTTGGCGTCTTTCTAGGGGAATAACTTACCGTCTGGTGACTAATGAAGGAAGGCTTTAAACTTCAGACTTGGAAAGATAGCTGACGGTGGTGAAACCCACAGGGGACTCTGATTTGGGTTTCCTTTTGCCACAGTCTCAGGAAACATGGCTGGGTCACATTAGTATTTGTCAATCACTTTGCAACACCAAGAATGATAGGTTTTCAATGGTGCTAAATCTGGAACATGTTTTTGTTAGTGCTTTTATTAGCTACTATTTCCAGAACCATCTGCTCATCCCAAGATGGCCACGTCATGTTGGCCTCTGCTAGCGCATGGCTCTGGACAGCCTGTGGTTCTCTTCAGCCGGAGGGAAGAGTGGGCTGTGGGGGAGACAAAGGGATTGCCGGCAAGGATGGTTGCCAAGTTAGAAGGTGCAGCCGGGTGTTTTCTAGAGGCGCTTGGTGATTTCGTTTCTGCAAGGATTTTATTTTTTACCTCTCAGCAGCCTACTCTTTTGCCCTTGAAGCTCACTTCTGTCTCCATTTACCTTCCCAGGGCTGACGTTTCCGCAGGTTCTCCACCACCACCGCTGCCAAGTTCTCTCCTCTCTCCAGACCACTGCTCCGCACGGGGGGCTCTGGAGACATGGCAGAAAATGGAGACGAGAAACAGACTCAGGCTGGGCAGATTTTTCAAAACTTTGTCCAGGCCACCACATGCAAAGGTACCCTCCAGGCCTTCAACATCCTCACGAGACACCTGGACCTCGACCCTCTGGACCACAGGAACTTCTATTCCAAACTCAAGTCCAAGGTGACCAGCTGGAAGGCCAAAGCCCTGTGGCACAAGTTGGACAAGCGTGGGTCCCACAAAGAATATAAGCGAGGGAAGTCATGCACAAACACCAAGGTAAACGGGAACCCCCCCCCAGAGATTTCTTACCCATCCAGGGGTGCAGGCTGACTTGTTGGGGTGTCAGGAACCTGTTGCCATGCCGCCGTCCTGGGTCTCTTCAGAGACGTGGGTGGGAGGGAGTGCGTGTCGTTGGGTTTGGCTCGGCTGAATTCAACATTCAGCGGAGTCTGCTTCCTCGGTTCGTACATGCACATCCTCTCCTGGCTGGAAGTTTCCGCCGTGTTGCGATGGCCCCAGCAGTTCTCCACACGCCAGGTTGGGGGGGGGGGGTCAGGCAAAAGCTGGGCGTCATCCCACTCCCGCTCCTATTCTAACTACCATTGACGCCTCTAGGATCCACCATTCATTGTATTGTATATGTGCATGTGTGTGGGGTTAAAGGGAAGAGGGAACCCCACAAAACATCACAGGTTCGGTAGGCGTAATTATACAGCGATAAGTAGAGATTATAGTAAAGTCATAGAGAGCATGAGAGTTAAAGGATGGAGTCAAGTAATGGAGTCAGACGCAATTCATGGTAGCATTGCTCACCTCAGCTAGGCTTGATGGTCCTCGTGGAGGGGGCTTAGCCGTCAGAGAAGAAGCCGCTGCTTCGTCCTCCTTAACCACCTTCTCCACCCTCGGCCAGCCACCCTCAGCCAGCCACCCCTTGGGAACAGCCCCTCTTGAGAAGCAGCTCTCCTTATTTATTGCTAACCATGCATCATATTACTTTAGGGGGATACATCACAGCATCATGCATCACAGAGAGGGGCAGTACAATTCATCCTTGAACAGGTTTGATCATTCTGGGGTCTCATACAATAAAGCAGGCAATTACTATCCTGGGAGGCATGCAAGCCCCCTGATAGCAGACAACAACCTACGTCATAGAGAGGGGTTGTAACATAGGCAATACAAGCAATAGGAGGGGGATGACCTAGGGGTGAATGTGCAATAGTAAGAGGAGGGAATAGGGGGGTCATGTGTGGCAAGATAGTAACCTAAGCTTAGTCATCTTAGAGTGGTCCCGGGCTTGCCTATGGGCACTGCTTCGAGGGAACAATAACAGAAAGGAATGGGCCTATTTGTTGTGGGATAAGCAGTGGCGTCTGCTTGATCTAGACAGCTGATACCTCTCAGTGAGAATGACTCCCAATCCATTCTTGATGGTTGATGTTAGGGAGAATAACCTCTGACCTACTTTCGCTGCCTAGTGAACAATTATTTTCAAGCTAAATCTGGCATATATTTTGGGGAGACAACTTAAGAGAAATCCTTCTGTTCCTCACACATGTGCACCCAGTGCCCAGCACCCAGATGTTCCTTCTATGTTCATCGTCTCAATAGACAGTGGTGCTGGTACCTTTGTGCTATCTTAGAGATGTGAAAACTGAGTGGCTAATTAACTTGCCTGAGGTCACACAACGACAGTGTAATTTTGATCTATCTGGTTCCAGAGCGTAAGCCCGAAATTCTATAGAGAGGCATAATTAGGGAGTAGTGTTCCTCTGGGAGCAAAGCTTTCAGAAGGATTCACCGGGCTTTTAATGAAATGGCTGGTAAGCACGTCTTTACTGCTTTCCCCTCTCTCTCACCTCTGCGCTCTCCCCTCCCCGTACCCAGGATACACCTCCCTGCCCGGACCACAGTGGCAGTTAACGTTGCCCCGGGGAAGGGGACGCGTCCCCCCAGGCATTTGGCCATAGACAGCATCAGTGAGCCCAGGGCTGCCGAATGCCTCCCACCTCTCGGTCTCTGACATGCCCACCGCGGATTGGTCAGCTAGAAGTCAAGGCTCTGGGATTGGTCAGCTAGAAGTCAAGGCTCTGGGACCCTCGGGGGCTGTCAGCCTTGGCGGGGCTCCAGGCTGTGTGTTTAGGTTAAAATCGAGCGTGCTGCATTTAGACTTCGCAGGAGGCAGCTCTGGCGGAGCCCATGGAATTCCGGTCGGTGCCAATCCCAGGACAAGAGGCCTGACTCTCCTTGGCAATCGGGACTGTTGTGGGTTTGTTGTGGTGATGAGGAGCCGTTGAATCCCCCATGGGATACAGCTGCTTTCCATTACCCTGGGGAGACCACTGCCAAGCTCCTCCAAGCCTGGGGTGTGCCAACTGTACGGGGCATGGGAGGGGCATCCCGTGAGGCTGGAGCAGACCCACCACTTTAGCCATGCACACCCGCCACCCGGGCACCACCTGCATTTGGCCTGCCGAGCTGCGGCCTTGGCTGAGGAGATGGCATGTGAGAGGAAAAGAGCGGGCACGTGAGGACTGCTCTCCCCCACGCCTCCCTTCCTAGTTGTGTTGGCTGTATTGTTCAGAGTCCACCGGGCAGCTCTTCAGAGCTAGAGGAAGGAGAAGCTCTTCGACTTCCGAGGATCCCCCTTCTCAGTAATTGCATTTGGTGGCTTCCTTGTAACATTTCTGGGGCCTGTAGATGTCAGATTGTTGCCGGCTGCCCAGGGGCCCTGGGAGAGCCTGCCACTGTTACAGCCAAAGACAGAGGCAAGATGGGGTCAACAATGCTAAGTTTACTTCTGCAGGCACTGACAGAAGGAACCGGTTGGGTGTGCTGCCTCCCAGCTGCTTCCTAATTCAGTCAAACTCAAGTAAGTTATGTACCTTAAACTATGTGACAAGAAACAGGGTTAGCAATAGCCCCGGGAGGTAATTAGCAGGTTTTACAATGATCACAGGGCTTTCAAGCAATGGGACAAAAGGGAGCAAGCTTCAAAGGAAACAGTTCATATTTTCCCAAGGGGTGATCAGACCTTCAATTGATATCTTTATTTCTCCAGGGGCTCTTGACCAGTACTGCAACCGCCCCCCTCCCCCAAGCCTTTCCTGAATTAGAATATCGTTGACTAATTAACAGGTTTTGCAGTAGACCCTGACCTTGAATAACTAATAGGCTTAAAGGGGGCTATTACATCCTGGTTCTGTTTTAACAAACTAAATCTCAACACACCAAATCCCCTAACAACTAAGTTACATTTCCAGTGTTTGAGCAATGGCAGGCTAACTCTTTCATTAGAGCCCCTGCTCTGTTATATAATGTCATTACCCCAGACAGGGCACACTTCTGGTTGTTGAGGGACCCCCTGGGTGGTTTGCAGGCAGCTTTCCAGGGGGTCAGGTAGCAGAGAGATGGAAGGGAAGGTTGGCCTCTGAACAGTTGTCTCTCAGAATCACAGCTGGCTGACACACCTGTCTAGCCAGCATCCATTTCATGAGCGTGGCCTGTGGTTGGCAGGTCCTCACTCCTCGCTCCCCCGCTCGCCCCTCCCCAAGCTGCAGAGGGAAAGAAAGCATCTCGAGTTAGTGATGCTGAGTCTGAGTGCTTCTTGCCCATGTGTTCTTAAACCTTTCTTAGGAGGAGGAGCAAACCCGACTGTGGTCCCTCGGAGAGGAGGGTGTGTTTGAAGATGCTTTGCGTGTTGAGTTGTGACTGTTCATGAGGCCCGTTCAGCCGCACGTTTCAGAAATCCAACTCAAACAATCCTAATGGAGCAGGGAAATCATTAACTTGTATCAACAACAAAGTGCAGACTCGCACAACTCCCCTCCTCCCACCCATCCCAGACTGCTCCGACCTGAGTCAGCACAGCTTGTTCCCTCGGGTTGGCTACTAGCTTCTATTTTGTATCTTTATGATCCTATGAACTCCAAGGCTAGCATCTTCCTTTTCTAGCTCAATGTGGGAGGGAAATGTGTCAATAAGGAAGGATTGTGAATGGCCTCCCTCTGGGCCATTTATTGGCGGCCAAGGCTAGAAGAACAGTGACTGTGAATGGCAGCCATCTCCAGCATCACATGATCAACAGGAGGAAGAGCGGCCCCCAAGGACATTATGGCGTGGGACAGATCAACAGCAGGGTCTGTCTCCATAGTGACTGCTCATAGTGATGGTATGGGTCCTCTCTATATGGGACTGACTCATGTGTGAATGGCTAATGCCCACCTCTAGCAGGCTGGTGTTTTGTACCTCTTAGTGTGAACTAAGCAAAAGACTCACAGAGGTGGGTCCTCCCTTGCTTCAAATGTGAACTGGCCCTGCCTTGCTCAAACACCGCATTTGACTCTACACTGGCGTACTAGTTTACCCTGAGCACATGGTTGATCCTTAATGAGAAAACATACATACACAAGCAGGTGTGTCAGGTTCCAGGCACACAGTCAAGCTCCATTATGATGAGTGTTTGACTGCTAGCCAAGGTCGGCGGTTCAAACCCACCAGCGGCTCCTCTGAAGAAAGTTGAGGTTGTCTGGTCCTATAAAGATTGACAACCTCTCTATAAAGGTCGCTGTGAGTCGGAATCGACTCGATGGCAGTAGGTGGCAGAGTTTGAGTAAATAGGATTCAGCTAGCATCTATGCTTATGGGGTCCCATCTCTGTACCATCTAGAGTGGGCTTGGGCTGCAGCAATGAACACACAAGGACCCCTCACAATAATCAAATGTGCTATAGCACTCTGCTGCTTATGTGCACGTGTGTCTGGGGGGCGGTCCCAGGACTTTCGTGGAGAAGAGGGGCCTGGTGGAGGTGCTGGGAGCAGACAGCGTGATCTGAAGGCCTCTAGACTCCAGAGCAGGGATCCTCAAACTACGGCCCGTGGGCCACATTTGGCTCACCGAGGACATTTATCCGGCCCGCCGGGTGTTTTTGCCACCACTGCCTGTCCTACTTAGCAGCCGACTCGTCCAGTGTGCATAGGAATTTGTTCATAGTTTTTTTTAAAACTATAGTCCGGCTCTCCAACTCTGAGGGACAGTGAACTGGCCCCCTGTTTAAAAAGTTTGAGGACCCCTGCTCTAGAGGGTGGCTCAGTTGTCAGTTGCTTACTCTAACTTGGCATCATTTCTTAGTAGCAATGATTACTTATCAGGGTTTTGTTAGGGACTTAATGATCCTCTCTCTGGGTGTGGTTCTGTTTGTCTAAGAACTGAGTGAACCAGGAATCAAGCCACTGGCAGTCCTTCCAGACTGGCATTGGCTTTGCAGTAGAGCAACA